TTACGGCACTTGCAACACAATTAGGTCATATAAGTGCCGAAGATTAGAGGTGTTACAAGAGAGTAGCAAACACAACAAAAAAAAAAAAGAGAACGAGGGGAGATAAGGACTATACATGTTTGATAGGAAAGAAGAAGCAAACAACATCAGAGCACCCGCCAACCACCCACCGGGTCCGAGATTCGAGGACTGATAAATATTTTCTGTATGCTGTGTTTTTTCTTGTAACACGAACAATGTACATGTCAATCAATGTTTCTGGAACGTAGAAAGAAACGTGTCTGTGCACAGCCTGATAAGTTTAATCTATGCTGCTCAATGGAGCATGTCAAACCTTAGTTATCGGGACAACAACCTCAAATACATTTCAGGTGCAATTGGAAAAACTCCAGACGAACGTGTTGAATACAAATACAAACGACAAAAATGGTATAAATACATATAATGCAAAAAAAGAGGAAAAAAAACAGAAAAAATCAACCCAAAAAACAAAAGCAAAGCAAACTAAAAAATCAAGCAAACAATGAACCTCATAAGAGGCGTGTTTTTAACTAGAGCAAAGGACATTTGAATGGAGATACTTCTACAGGCAAGCCAAAATGAAGGCACACATGCCAGAGATATGTGTGAATACACAAGCTGTATGACAGACATTCAGATACGTGTGAATAGACAACCTGTATGACAGACATTTAGATATGAGTGAACAGACAAACTGTATGACAGACATTTAGATATGTGTGAATAGACAACCTGTATGACAGACAAAATCTAGATACGTGTGAATAGACAACCTGTATGGCAGACATTTAGATATGAGTGAATAGACAAGCTGTAGGACAGACATTTAGATATGTGTGAATAGACAAGCTGTATGGCAGACATTTAGATATGTGAGAATAGACAAGCTGTAGGACAGACATTTAGATATGTGTGAATAGACAAGCAGTGTGACAACAGACATTTAGATATGTGTGGATAGACAAACTGTATGACATATATTTAGACGGTTGTCAGACAATATGAAAAAGGAAACTGCAGCTAACTTGTAGTTTTATCCCAATTCAGCTCGATAAATTATGCAGTTTTTTCGTCATTAAGCAGACGAGAATTGTTACCGAGAAATAGAAGTAGGAGAAGCGAATAGGAGAGATAGGAAGGAGGTAGAGAGAGAGAGAGAGAGAGACAGAGACATAGAGAGAGAG